CCACGAAGAATTGAGGCAGTTCTGAAGGCAAAAGGGGGTCCAACCCGTTACTAGCGTGGTGTACCTAATAAAGTGGCCGGTGAGTGTAGGTTGTCTCAGACAAACTAAACAATGGTTATGTCCACCCCTGCATATGAATTTGAGGTCAAACCGCCCAGCCCTCGTAACAATACATAAAAACAAATGTTTTTCTCCAACAACCTGGTGTGTAAAACTACAGTTGTTAAAGCTTCGCTCTGTGTGACGTGCAGCAGGAGGGAGGTGATGGTCCTGCAGCACAACGTAACTTTTCTACAGCGGGAGGGGAAATTTTAATGATTTATTCTGTCCAAGTGTGTTTTAAAACACTATATTTCTTCATTTATTTATTTGTTTAGAATAAATTGCCCTATAAAAACAAATAAATAAAAGAAAAGAAATGGTTTAGCTGCCCTGTTGGACAGGTGTCAGGATACATCAGCCTGCCTGAATACAGGTTTTACCTGCCCCCACCAGTTGGCCAATGGGATTTGTTGAACCCTGTCGAACCAAGTCCAAATCACTGATGTAGCACCATTTTTAACCAACTCCTCCGGCTCAGGTGTGTCTGCACTCACAGCCATGTTGACACAGGTGAGGTGACGTACCTGATGACAGGACAGTAGAGGGTCAGTTTCTACTGTAGGCCATCTTTATACTGTTTCTATCACATATACACCGCAGTCCTAATAAATATGTGTATATAACCAAAAAAATGTTGTTTATTATTTTATTTTTTCTAAACCTTTTTCTTAAGTTTTTATGTGTGTTTGTTTTCAGGAACTACCAGCATTCTCATGTCCAATGTAAGAGATTTTTATGGACACAGTGAGGGTGTCCGCAGGGCGCCACACTATGACCAGGTTCCTGCAGACACCTTATCCCACTCAGACTGTCTTCACCTGACTGCTCCACATCTGGCTGTGAGTACAGACCCTCTTCCTCCTCCACATCTGCCGGAGCAGCCTCCTGTAGGCCCTGACTTTGATTCCAGCGACAGTGAGTACAACGTCGACCCTGAACCTGATCCCACCATTGATATCAAACCAGTTCACCGTTTCATTCCTGATTCCTGGAAGAGCTTCTTCAGAGTCAGCAGTCGCAGCAGCAAGACGCTGTGCTCCATGCCTGTATCCTCCTCTAACAACAACAACAACAGAACAACAGACGGCGTGCGCTGTTCCCCTCCACACTCCCCATCTCTTCCTGGATCATACCAGGACCCCCACAGTGGCTCGGGTGGCAGCTACAACTCCCGTAAAGAGCTTCTCGGAGGACAGGGAGGGTCAGTGTCGGGGCGTACACACCACACAGGTCTGACTTACAGCGAGCAGGTGGAGCAGTACCACCAGCGCTATGGCTACATGAAGTCATGGGCGGGGCTTCTGAGGATTCTGGGCTGTGTGGAGCTACTGCTGGGAGCTGCCGTGTTCGCATGTGTCTGTGCTTATATCCACAAAGATAATGAATGGTTCAATATGTTCGGATACTCGTCTCCTGGAGGAAGTTTTGGGCCTGGGTATGGCTCTGGATTTGATGGATCCTACTACACCGGGCCCAAGACCCCATTTGTGCTGGTGGTGGCAGGTCTGGCCTGGCTGGTGACTGTGATCCTGCTGGTCCTGGGGATGACCATGTACTACCGCACCATCCTGCTGGACTCCTCCTGGTGGCCTCTGACAGAGTTCATCCTAAACCTGGCTCTGGCAGTGCTGTACATGGCAGCAGGTACGTCAAACTAAAAGTTAGCAAAATATCTAAATGTTTGTTTTATTACCTACTGCCACTGGTGAAAACATGATACTTTACCTGTGTGTGCATGTTCATTTCTCTGTTCTTTGTTTTTAGTAAAATATCCCATAAACCAATAGATCTGAACGAAATCTGTCTAGATTTAAATTAAATCATTACCTAGAAACTAATTACAGTCATCTCTACACATAAATAATTTTGGAGTCCACATTCAAGTCCACCACAAATAGGTATCATCCTTAGGAAACAAGAGCTGTCATTCCCCATGATTTATTTTAAATATGTGACCATCACATAAATATATGACCATCACATAAATATATGACCCATCACATAAATATATGACCCATCACATAAATATGTGACCATCACATAAATATGTGACCATCACATAAATATATGACCCATCACATAAATATATGACCCATCACATAAATATATGACC